AGTCAGGTCTCACGTCTAAGGCTCAGGGTCTTCATGGGCCTTAGGGGACACATGGGGCCAGGCTGGGGCTCCTGATCTGGGACCTTCTGCACTATATCAAACATCAAAACCCACCTACAGCCCATGGCAGATATATCTCTTTGCTTTAGAAAATTGGAAAGGACTCTGGTATTTTTAGCTTTTTAAAAATAAGTTATCCATATTGTTAATTTGATCACATATACATATTATATACATAACATAAAACAAAATAATTGAATTGGAGGTGACTGTTGATGTTTTATGGACATTTGAGTGACATTTACTAATTTCAATTTAGAAATTTTTGTCTCTTTGAGCCTATACATTTTAAATTCTGGCTTCAGATATTTTCTACAGGCTCTTAAAAAGCCAGCAGGCCCAGGGCCTGGTGCCCATAAAGAGGCACAGTGCCATCCGAGGCAGCTTTTCCTAGGCCATCTGGGTTAGGGAGGGAGGTGCCAGAGTTGAGGGGGGCACCTCCTCATTGCCATAGGAGCCCTCGGGGTCATCCTGACAGATGCGGTGGTGAGCAAGGCACTGAGCTCAGCATGTTCAGGGTGATGTCCACCTGCCACCTGGGTGCTAAATATAGCCCTGCACAAAGGCCTCTCTGCCTGAAACTGCAGCATCAGCTTCATTGGCTGGGATTCCCACAGAGACAAACTCTGTTAAAATAAACGGAAAACAGGCTTCTCTCCACAATTCAGGATGTTGAGGTGTACGATTAGACAATAGATTTTTCCTGCCAGAAACACAACATTGCTGGTTTCAGTCACTGATAGAAGCTTAGTCACTTCAGGTGTGGAGGCTAGGCCTGGGGAACTCTCTCTAGTGACTCCACAAAGCAGGATGCTTCCCACAGGGTTCTGCTCCTCAGTGTTTGGGGATTCATTTGCTGAACCCCTAATCCCTCGTGTGTCTGTATTGGGAGAGGGGGCCTCTAAGGAAGTAATTAAGGTTATGAGGTCATAAGTGTGAGGCCCTGATCTGACAGGATTAGAGTCCTTCTAAGAAGAACCAAAGAGCTTGTTCTTTCTCTTCACTCACACAGGAAGAGGCGAAGTGTACACGTAGCAAGATGGTGGCTATCCATAGCCAAGAGAAGAGGCCTCTGAATGAAAACTGCTTCGCCAGCACCTTGATCATATACTTCTAGCCTCCAAAATTGTGAGAAATAAAATTCTATTGTTTAAGCCAGTTCAAGCCAGTATGTGGTATATGATAGAAAATACAGTGAATATTCAAATTTTTAAAAATACATTACAGTAAAAGACACATTGCCATTGAGCCCTCTCAGAATACTTCCCCTTGCTTTGAAACACACTTATTCCACCTTTCTTGCCACTTTTTTTTTCCCATTTAGTTTATTGGTACATTTTAGGTATACAGTACAGTTACATTCCTCATTGAGATCTTGTACATTTACATGGTTTACATGGTTCTTATTTTTTCCCCATTCCCCTGCCGTCCCTTCACCCCCTCCACCCTTCCTTATTTACAAAGACTTTGTTTCCATTTTTTACTTTTCTCATATTTTTTCTTTTCCCTTCTTTCCTTTCCCCTTCCCCTCCCATTTCCCCTATTCCTTTAGACATTTTCTTCCTATTTCACAATATCAATTATACATTTTGATTCTTATTTGCACTTTTAGTTTTTCACACCAGAGAAATTATTTGATATTTACACAAGTGTTTCCTATTTATGTCACTGAAGAGGATGGCCTTAATGTGCATCCACTTAGCTATAAATGTCTCTAGTTTCTCATTCTTTGTGGCTGAGCAGTACTCCATTTTATATAAAAAAAAACACATCTTCTTTATCCAGTTTCCAGATGACAGGCATCTGGGCTGTTTCCAAGTTTTAGGTACTATAAACTATGCTGCTATAAACATGAGTGCACATATATTGCTGTGGTATGATTTTTTAAATTCTTTTGGGAAGATCCCCAGTATAGGAATAGCTGGGTCAAATGGGACTTCCAGTCCTAGTTCTTTGAGGCATCTCCATACTGATTTCCACAGGGGTTGCACCAGTCTACACTCCCGCCAACAATGGAGAAGGGTTCCTTTCTCCCCACAACCCACCCAGCATTTTTTATCAGTTGATTTCTTGATAGCAGCCATTCTTTTTGAGTGAGGTAGAATCTCAGCGTTGTTTTCATCTTCATCTCTCGAATGACCAGTGATGTTGAACATTTTTTCATATGTTTATTTGCTGCTTTTACTTCTTTGTCTGAGAAATGTCTGTCCATTTCATATGCCCATTTTTGAATTGGGTCTTTATATTTGGGGGGTCTGATTTTTTTTAGTTCTTTATATATTCTAGAGAGTAGACCTTTGTCTAAAGAACAGCTGATAAAATTTTTTTCCCACATTGTAGGTTGTTTCTTAGCTCTGTTGGTGGTTTCTCTTGCAGTGCAGAAGCCTTTTAATAAGATGAGATCCCAGCTGTTGATTCTTTGTGCTAGTTCCCGTGCTACTGAGGATTTTTTCATAAAGACCTTTCCTATACCAATGTCTTCAAGAGTTCTACTTAATTTGTCTTCCAGCAAGTTTAGCGTTTCTGTTTTAATATTTAGATCTTTAATCCACTTTGATTTTAGTTTAGTGCATGGTGAAAGACAGGGGTCTAGTTTTAATCTTTTTTCTTGCCACTTTCTGAAGCAGTTCTGGAAGTCCTCTTTAATGAGTGTCTTTACTTGTGCTGTCATGGCTGTCTCAATGTCCTGAATCCACTCGAACATTTGCCTTTTATGGTCAGTTTGAATTTGGGGAAGAGCCAAAAGTTGCACGATGCCAGATACCATAAAGGAGTGGGTGAGGACACACCTCAATGTTTTAATGAGACTGCCTTTCCATTGGATAGGACTTGGCAGCAGCATTCACTCTACTTTTGATCACATCTTATAAAGACATTCACAGAAAGAGGACTTCCAAACCTGCTTCAGAAAGTGGCAAGAGCAAGAAGATAAGTGTGTTCAAAGCGAGGGGGAGTATTCTGAGGGAGACTAATGGCAACGTGTCCTTTGCTGTACTAAACATTTTTATTTAAACATTCACCTTTTTTTTTTTTTTTTTGGTACCGGGGATCGAACTCAGGTCCTTGCACTTGTGAGGCAGGCAACAGAACCACTGAGCTAAATCCCCAGCCCATTCACCATATTTTGATCAGTTCTTCCCTTTTGTCACAGCGACTCAAGCTGACTATACTTTGCTTCTCCATTCCGTGAATTAGCAACACCAGCCCCAAGCGCAGGCCTACCCATCAGAACCTGCCTCATCACAGGGCACCCAGGTGATTCAGAGGATTAGAAGGTGTTAGGCCTTTTAAGGAGGGTCTAACTGACCTAGTGGTCATTTACTCAGGAGTGGAGGCTACTGAATACTCTAGGCCAGAAAGAGAGAATACTGTGAAACTAAAACTAGTTGCTGGCTCTCAGCTTTGCTGAACAGAAAAGTCTTATGACTCTGGTTATGAGTAGTCTGGTCTGGGGCTCTGAACCTGGCTAGCCTGGCTGTGCATGAATAGGGATGGGGGAATCTTTAATGTCCTGTAGTTGATAGGAGGTCATGATCTGTCCTAAAGAAGGGGCAGTCATGCTCAAAATGTGCATCCTGCCTTGCTTAAGAATTGGTAACCCCTGCCTCTCACTTTCACATAACCTGGATGACTGAGGGTGGGGTGAATTTAATTCCATGCACCAACTCTAATCAAATGGCAGTGGCCACCTGGAAAGCTCTATTGAGAAAGAGGCCTCCTTTGGTACCCATGAAGAACAGAAACTTGATGGATTAGCAACATCTGCCAAGAACATGGGGTGGGAGGGACCAACAGGGATTTAATTCCACTCTTATAACTGATGCATGAAATATTTAATCAAGTGATTAGGTCTGGATTTTCTCGTGCTGCTATCATCACATATTTGCCATTTATTATTATTTATTTGTATCATTAACATCTACTGACTTAACTAATCATAAATGAAAAAATAAGAATAACAAAAAATTTTGGGCAAACAAAAAAGTAGGGCAAACTAGCCTACCAGATATTACCATACTTTGATTCTGTGCTTGTTTTTATAATTTATTGCCTCTGACACTGAGGTGTGTCCTATATCTCTGGCCTCCAGGTGGCTGTCAGGATGTTGTTACCATCACTTGTCCATACACATCAGCACTGATGGAGACTGGTAGCAACTTGGAGGATGTCTTAGTTACTTTTTGGATTGCTGAGACAAAATACCCAACACCCAAAGTTAAGGCTCACAGTTTGTAGAGGTTGGGTCCAAGGCAGGTTGGTCCAAGGCAGGACGGCATGGCAGAGGAGTATCACAGAGGAAAAACTGTTTATGGTGTGGCAGGGCAGGCAGAGGCAATAAAGCAGCAAAGTAGCAAACAACAACAGCCCTCTTTCTATCCCTCACATTCTATCCAAGATACCTGCCCTTAGGGTGGGGAACCTTAAAACCAGCATTGCACCATTAATCCCAGCACCACATCCTTAATCCCAGCATCACACACCCTAGATCCAGCCACCTGTGAAAAACCCCACCTAGGACTGCATGAGGCTTTGGGGGGACATCTAGACACAAACCATTGTAGGGGACAGGGGAAGGGGACGTTACCAGAACCTCTGCAGTGAGTCCTGGTCTCCTGCGAGCCACGGCAGCACACGGCGAATTACAGGAAAGGTAGAAAAATGAGACTGAGAAGAAGCTGAGCTTTGGGTCTGATCAGTGCTGCTCTGGGCAGCAAAGACAAAAACCCCTAGCTTGCAGCACCTTTTATTTAGTACATCCAAAGAAACAAATGTAACAAATGAATAATGTAGATTTCAGTATCATATTGGGATGAACAAGGTGTAACAAAAGACTGGGTGGGGGGTGGCAGAAATCTAAGAACAATGAGGAACTATGCAGATGAAGATTTAGTTCCTCCCAGGAGCTACACAGATGAAGATTTGGTTCCTCCCAGGGCGTCTCCCACAGGTGTGGTCTTGTCCTGGAGCATTACAGCATCATGGGATCATTGAGACCTTCCTTGTGACCTGAGGCCAAAATGGAAGTATGTTTTGGAGTGTTATTGCTGGCCTGTAGGCAGGAGAACTAGGCCTACTCAAACGATTTTTCCCTAGAATTATGTAGCATTGCTCCCAACAAACCATAACAGAGGATATCCTGCAGACAGAAGCGGGCTCCTCTTTTAAGAAATCCTTTATCATCAGGGACTGGGGGGTAGCTCAGTGGTAGGGTAGCTCTGTGGTAGGGCACTTGCCTAGTATGCTGGAGGCCATGAGTTTGATCCCCAGCATTCCCGCCCTGTAAAAAGTAAAAGAAATGCTGTATCATCAAACTAGCACTCTTCAAGGCATAATTTAAATAAACAAGGGTGTTAATGGTCAAAATCAAAATATGACTCAGCAGAAGCAGATTCTGAATTTTGGGACTATTTTAACTAAACAATTTTGCTTATGTATGTCTAAATGTCATATGTCTACGTGACATCTATTTCTATAAACATCTATATCTATATAAGTCTAAGATTTTTTTCAATAAGCATAAAATAAAAATTTGAGTGATAAGAAAGCATTATGTCCTGATTTAATTGGCAACAGTTGTTTTCTTTCTTAGTGGCACATAAAAAATAGTGAAAGTTTCAATCAATGACATTTGGATTAAACAGAAAAATAGGTATTATAAAATAACAACAATTAAAGCACAAAAAATTCACTTAAGTAAGAATCACATATGGTAGAGGTGAAATTTGAACTTTGGACTCCACTATGCTACACCTTCACATAGCAGGTGTGGTCACTCAAGCCTGTAATCCCTGCATTCTGGGAGGCTGAGGCAGGAGGATGATAAGTTTGAAGTCAGCTTGGGTAACTCAGCAAGACCCTCATCTCAAAAAAATAAAAAAGTAAAAAAGGCTGGGTATGCTCAGTGGTAGAGCATCCATGGGTTCAATCCCCACCAAGAAAAACTACACACCCACAGCTCTATTCCATTAAGGCTTTTCATGGGATCACTCCAGTCCCAAATCAGTCTGTCCGCCCTGCTGGTGAGACTGTGTGGAGAGGCCACATGATGGGTTGAGCCTCTGGAATAACACTGAGAGGCCCAGCCATCCCAGGGTCCCAGCTGAGCCCACCCTGCCAGAGGCCAGGCTTGAGAGAGGAGCCACTGCCATTTTGGCCCCCGCTGCACCACACTACAGCCACTTGAGGGAGCCCCAAGCAAGAGCAGCAGATGAACCCTCCAGCTAAGCCTCAGGCAGCTCAGAGTCTGGAGAAATAGTGTGGTGGCGGTTGTTTTAAGCCACCCTGAATTGCACTGGTTGGCTCTACAGCAATAGGTGATGAAAAGAGATGGCTTCTGTGGAAAGGTGGCATCGAAGGTAGGAGCTAAGGGGTTCAGGTGGGAATGGGGTCCTCATGGGAAGGCAAATCCAGGCAGAGGTGTCAGGAAAGAGCATGGCCCCCCTTGAGGATCTGAAAAGTGCAGGGCAATAGGGAGAGCAGCACAGAGGCAGTGGCGAGAGAGGGCAGCAGGGGCTGCAGACTGCAGCGCATATGAGGAGCCTGGACTTTAACTGCAACAGGCACCATTGAAGGGTTTTAAGCAGGGGGAATTCCTGAGCAGATTCTTCTGGCTCTTGTGTGGGAGGAGGCATTCCACACAGGCAGGAGCAAGACCAACTAGAAGGACAAAGCAATGGTCTCCAGGAGAGGTGACGTTGGCCAGGATGTGGAAGGCAGACTGGAAGGTGAGAAGTCAAGTGCACATTTGGAGGTAGAACGCACAGAACTTGGTGATGTGGGCTGTGAATGGGAAGGAAGTGCCAAAAATGACTCCCAGACTCCTGATTTGACAACTGGGTGGAGGCTGGTGCCATTTTCTGTGACAGGGAAATCGTAGGAGGACAAGATTTGGGTTAGGGGGCGCAGAGCAAGAGTTCACTTGCACATGCGAAGCTGGAGATGTCAGGAAGATATCAAGTGGAGGTGTGAGTAGGCAGTTGAATATACAAGTTTACATTTTAGAAAAGCGATCTGGGCTTGGGCTATGCATTTGGGAGTCATCCACCTAGAGATGATATTTAAAGCCAGGAGAGGAGACGGGGTTGCCTAGGGAGAGAAGGAAGAGAGAAAAGGCTCCATGGAACGTTAACATTAGGCCACTAGACAGGGGGAGACCCCAGGGAATAACCTGATAAATGCCCTGAGGCTTCCCTACAGAGCCCCAGGAAGCAAGTTCAATTGCTCCCACCTCCAGCTCTCGGGTCCTGGACACTTAGGACACAGGCCATGTCCTCCTGAGGCTCCTCCTCCAGGTTCCCTTTCCTCACCTTGTAGGCACAGTTAGAGTCCACCCCTACACAGGTCATTCTCCTCTCCAAGTTCCTTTCTCTGAGTGTCACACTGCAGTGTGACTGTCGAGCCCAGACTAGAAAAGGCCTCGCTGACCAGCATGATGGATACTAAATAGGGAGCAGATGAGGACAGGACAGAGGGGGACAGTTGAGCCTGCTTGGTGTTGCTAAGAGATTTTCTGTTGCATTTCCCATCTGTAGGGAAGGGTGAGGGATTCAGAGAAAGCCTCATAAACAATCACGTGAGCTCAGGCACTCCCTCACTGCCTGGCAGCCTCGGTGGCAGAAAACAAGATTGTTTCCCAGACATAAACATAAATAGTGTAAGATTTCCAACAAGATGCACGTGACAGAGGCTGTCATCTGCTTTATGATGAGAGCTGGAGATAGAATGTTTGGGAAAAGCTAAAACCTATAAACACCTCTCGGAAGTTCTCCATCTTTTGCTCACTTATTCCGCAAACTTTCACTGTGGAGATGCCATGGTCCAGGTAAATGTGCGATCTGTGCCACTGTTCCCTTCTGAGTCCTGGCTGAAATAGGAGGCCTGTGTTCTCCACCAGTGCTGTTCAGGTTCAACGTAGGAGAGAGTTTTGCTTTGCTTCTTTTCTGTGGAGCTGGAGATCAAACCCAGGCCTCGTCCATGCTATGCAAGCGCTGCACCACCAAGCCACATGCCCAGCCCTACCATATGAGCTTTCTACCCTGGTTACTAAGTATGGTGGGCAGAAATCTGAGGGCAATAAACATTCATGCACGCGCACACACACACACACACACACCTCTCCTGGATGTGCAAAATGTGTGTCCAATACTACTTTGGTGAGACAGGGTTCTTCATTCTTTCTTCCTTCTTTCCTCTCCCCCTCACTGCTAGCTGGAGTGGACAGAGTCTGCCTAGACAGAGCCTGGTCAGCAGTACAAGGCAGCAATTGCCCAGAGTGGCCCATAGCACCATTGAGACCAAGGTTGGCTTATCTTGTAGATGTTCCCCTTTGAAGAGGGAGGTCACATCAAGAGAAGGAAGCTGTGTGGTTGAGGCAGGAGAGAAAGCCTCAATACTCCCCCAAGAGGTACTCTTTATGTACTTTCTATTTATTTCTTTTTCTTTCTTCCACAGCTGCTCCCAAACTCTCAGTTGGCTGCCACAGTGACATCAAATGCCCTACAGCCCAACTAGGAGACATCTGGTTCTGTTTCTGGTCCGTCCTGCATGACTCCACCCCAAAGCATCTCTGGACAGCTCTGCCCCTCTCAGCCTTTTTCAGTCAGCTCCCTACTAGTGGACTAAACAGAAGGTGACACTGCCATGCCTGGGCCTGCCTCCCCTGCCCCTCCCCAGACCCCTAGGGCATCAACCCATGTGCTTCTCTCCCCTCTACCGCCCCCGGGCTGCAGCATGAGTCCTAATAAAGCCTCTTTCCGGATGGAGCATCATTGTCTACTCATGATTTCTATCACGAGTAGAGCAGGCTTAGCTGGTAACACCAAAGACTGCTGTCACCAAAAGTGGTCAGGAGCCAGGGCTGGTAACACTGAGGGCAGCAGCAGCTGATGAGGTGCAGCAGTGGAGAATCGCTGGGAGCTGCCCTCCTGGGTCACCAGGAGAGTTCCCAAGGACTCTCCATAGTTCCTGGCTCCAGCAGCAGGAGAGTGGCAGGGGGCTGCTAACTCTTTGAGCTGACAGCCGCCAGCATTCAAAGCTCAGGGCTCTTAACACTAAAAAAGCCACACTTTACCTATTTGTGATTTCTCTCTGAAGTAAGCAAAAGAACCCTCAGCAAATTGGTGTCCTGGTGATCTGGGTGCACATCTATCCTTCCTGACTCTAGGCGGGGAGTGTGTGAGTGTGATCATTCAAGGGCAGTGATTCTCCAACAGAGCTGCTTGGCAGTGGAATTTCCCTTCTGCAATAAACTCTACCTTTATACCCTTTCAAATGTCACCTGCATGTAATTTTTTATTTGGAAAATGAGGGGAAAACTGTTTCTGTAACACAGATAATAAAATATTTGGAAGGCCAGAAAGGGGAAACAATGGTGTGTGAAAATTCTAGAGGTAGAGTTTGTGTTCACCAAAGTGGGCAAGGGATTAAAAGGTTGTAAAACACTGATTTAGAGTAAAGAAAGAAGATATTTCAGAACCAGGCTGTGGGCACTTGGGCTAGGAATTCTTGCTGCAGGGCAATGGAGTTTAGGACACAACTACCCCCAAATATGGTCCCTTGATGAGCAGGTGGTGTGTGCCCGTGGATATGTAAGTGTATGTACACTCATGTGTGCAGGTGGAGGCAGAAGGAGAATGGGAAGAAATGGGAAACATCCTCTTACTCTGTGGCCACCAGCTCCTAGCATCCCCCTCTCAGCCCCAGAAGAAATGGGGTCTGCAATATTCTAGAGACCTCGGAATGCAAAAGGGGTTCCTCCCGGTCTCCAGGGACCCTGAGGTGGTTCCTGGGCTGTGTCCCTACTAGCAATTCAGCCTACCCCACCTGGAGGCTCACAGCAAGGGCCTGGCCCTGGGGAGACATCTGCACTTGAATAAGCCCCTCCCACCAGGACGTCAGAGCAGAAGCTTGCAGCTACACCTGGGATACCCGCACACAGCTGTCTCCTTGGATGATGGTGATGCTGGGGAAAGGGGGGGTGACCTTGAGGAGTGAGAGAGGAAATTTCAGGACACTGGTGGGCAGCAGGACAGCCTAATGCAAACGGTGCAGAGGCCCAAGCCTGGTAGGATGTATCTGGCCAGCTGCTGCTCCTGGGCCACCAACGGCAGCCATGTTCTTCTGAGAAGGGAGCCCTCACAGGGCCTGTGGCCAGCACTTGGTTTGGGAAAGAAGCTTGGAGAGTCCACAGGGCACATGAGGCCTCTGAACATCAGACAGGTAGGAAAGGCCATCAGCACCATGGATTCTCTGGGCAGGTCAGCACGCAGGGAGCCAGGGCTGATGGAGGTGTTCTATCCCATGGTATCCCACAAGGGAGTCACCAGCCACGGGTGGCTCATGAGTCCTTGACATAAGGCTACTGCAACTGAGGAACTGGCTTGTAAACTTTACTTTTAATTACATTTTTTTTTCCTTTGAGACAAGGTCTCACTATGTAGCCCAGTCTGGACTCAAGCTCAAAAACCTACTGCCGCAGCCTCCCGAGTGCTGGGATTATAGGTGTGTCATTGGGCCTGGCATTACATTTATTTATTTATTTATTTGTTTATTTATTTATACCAGGGATCGAACTTGGGACCTTGAGCTTTCGAGGCAGAACCACTGAGCAAAATCCCTGGTCCTTTACTTTTAATTCATTTAAATTTAAGTTTAAATTTAAGCCACAGGGGGCTATGAGTACTGTTCGGAATAGCCAACCCTATTGAGCATCTCAAGTCACCCACCAGGTCTCAGTACTGGGATGTAGGCTGTTTGCCAAGGGCCTCCTCAGGTGGGGGCATGCCCTGTGCCATCTAAGAGAGGGACAGAGGTGGGCGTGCAGCCTCCTGGCTCCATCTGGCTTGGCTCTGCTCTGCTTTAGGAGGGACAGCATCCCATGCACTGGGATGAGTCGGAGTCATTCACAGCAGTGCAGCTGCCAGCCTGGCCCTGCTCATGGTCAAGGGTCTCATCTGTGGCCTGACTCCAAGCTCGGCTCTGTGATTCTGGAGGGAAAATGTGGGCAAACTTGGGGGGAAGGGAATTGCATATCCCTTATTGGAACGCAGGTGAACCTTCCAGTAACCCTCCTATTGCTCTCCCTATTTCCTACTGAAAAGATAAAAAGGAATGGGGCTGGGGATTTAGCTCAGTGGTGCCACACACCTGTCTCACAGGTGCAAGGTTCTGAGTTCAATCCCCAGTACCAAAAAAATAAATAGAAAGGAACAGCAAACATAAAAGAGAAGAAAGCTACATATGGCGTTTGTTTTTGTACTGGGGATTGAACCCAGGCCTTCATATTTAGCTGCATCCTCAGCCCATTTTTATTTTGAGATAGGGTATCACTAAGTTGCTAAGTTTCCCAGGCTGGGTTGGAACTTTCCATCCTCTTGCCTTAGCCTCCCAGAGGGCTGGGATTACAGACTTGCACCAGCATACCTAGCCTGAAGGCATTTTGAAAAGGTGCATCATGCACAGACACTGCAAATGTCTAGTTGTGAGGAAACACAGGAGCCTTCAGGTAGCCCAAGAGGGCCCCCAGAGGCTGAGGCAGGACCTCAGCTCCTGCAGACTCCACACTTCTCTGCCCAGGCTGGCAAAGGCCTCTAACATCAGCCTGTGCCTGCTGCCCCTGGCAAGGCTGCACATTGAGGGCAATGGTCCCCTCTGAGGAGGTGCAGGGGCAAACAGGCCCTGAGGGAGGGAGGTGCCAGAAGTCTTTCCTCCGTCCCGAAGTCACACAACAGCCCCACTGCCTCACACGGAGCCACGGGACAGCTCCAGGCACAAGGATGCCCTGGTTCCCCCTGTGCAGGCCAGTATTGGGGGCACAGCACCAAGGTTCCTGGTGGGGCTTCCAGGGGATGAAGGATAAAGGGTGGCAGAAAAACTGTGAACAAGTCTCACCCATGCAGCTCTCGAAGGCCAGTGATAAGGCTGGTGATAAGCAATGACAACTTCCTCAAGCTGCTGAAACAGCCTGACAGTCAGAGCCCCCAGTGCCACCTTCCCCTCTGCCAGGGGGGCTGGGTGCTGCCAGGTCAGTGTCTCGGGGGTGACTCATGACTCAGCCTCTCTGCTGGGGACACTGGCAGCCGCCCCCACCCTCGCAGGCCTGCAGGGCTGCCTGCTCCTTTTATTTATTCTCTGTTCCTCCACCTCTCCTCACCAGGGCCCATGACTCACGGGCTCCCACTGCCCTGGGCAGGCTGGGTGGGCATCACCACCACTGCAATTATCTGGATCATTCGGGCCCAAGAAGTCTCTCCACCTCTGCCCCCAGCACCAGCAGCAGTGCTCCCACCTCATCTGCATAGCCCAGCGCCTCAGATGCCCTGTCTACACCTTCAGACAAGTCCCTCCTGGGAGGGCTCCCAGGGCATCCTCACAAGCTCTGAATTTGTGTTTTATTTGG